TTATTAAAATGCAATTAAAATTGACTTAATGACCCACATGGATTTTGACAGTGGCCTTAATGAGACTCACAAAATAAGTTATAGAGCTGCTGCAGGGCAGAACTATTTTAGAACAAAAAATAACTGAAACATCCAGTCAATCCATGAGAATAAGATTTGGTGTAAAGACGTTTAGAGGAAAATAACAGCAGGATCTTTTATTATTCCTAGTAGGAATAAAATTACTCTGGCCACAAATGGTTAAAAATGTTTTTGTTTTTTTTAAACAAATGCTAACAATCAAGAGATTCCAGCACATTTGACGAAACACAAACATTGCGTTATCGGATTTTCGTTATCGAAGGAAAAAACGATAACGATTCTCTTACAGATATTACATAATAAAGTATAATATGCAGAAAAAAAAAGTTTTTTATCCCACAGATATTACATAATAAAGTATAATATCCAGAAAAAAAAGTGTTTTATCCTATTCAGGAATGTCCATTAAACGCAATTAATCATGATTATTCAAAGCATATTTTTCATCCGTCCTGTTAGACCAGTGGTGTCAAACTCATTTACACGAAAACCGATAACGATTCTTACCGATATTATATAATAATGCTAATATCGGTCGACGAAATGATCAAACATCCCTAAAAACATCAAGGCTCTCCAGCAGCTGTACTTGTCACCAGACTGTGTCTGTATCGGAGCTCAACATTCCAAACTCCTTCACTGACAAAAGTTCAGATGCGGGGATGGAGAGGCAAACTTTGTGGATGACATCAGCCACAGAGGCTTCAAGACAAGACGGCTGTGTGTAATAAAAGAACCAGTCATTACTGAGAAGGAACGGGTGAAGCAATCTTCTCTGAGAAAATCACCAGGCTGGATCCACAGAAGAACCACACTCTGTAATTAGACAAGGCCATTAAACCGAAACGTTGACTGTTGTGTGCTCACTCTGTGTGTGTGTGTGTGTTAAGCATGTGTGTGTGTCTCTGGAGGGGAGAAATTCTGGCACATGTTACGAGATGTTATTAACAGCGGGATGACATAGATGCAGGTGCTGGATTATATTTGGAGACGTAAGCTGTGAGTGTGTTCATGAACCAGACCAGACACTCAAACGTACACAAGTGGGCGCCATTTCTGACATTTGGAAAAGTTAAATTCAAAGATGTATTAAAAAAAAGGTCATCAATTGATGCAATTAATTAAAACAATGTATTGCAACGATATATATCGTCTGGCAAAAAACGCGTCTTTGGAGTTTGCGATCCTCAGACCACTGGGATGATTTAGACCAGTGTTTCCCAAACTTTTTTTTGGGGACCCATATTATAAAAGTCACAAACCTTCACGACCCAAGTCAATAGACAATATTCCTAAACTCCTGGGAAACATGATGCAAGACGACCCAAAAAAAAAACTCTTATGACCCACCTGATGGACGTGACCCGGTCTTTGGGAAACAATGATTTAATCTATTTTTCAGCCTCCCTCAAATTAACAAAATCCAACATTTGTGATTATCTTCATTTACAGAACTACTTTTGTTTTGGTAGGAGTTATTTTTGACTACTTTTATAAAAGTTGTCAGTGAAGGTAAAACGGTCGTACTTATCTGACAGATCATTAATCTAAGACCAAGACGTGCCGAGGTTTTAAGGACTTTTCATAAAAGCCTCATTATCTTTTCAAATATTTACATCCTTTGATCGTCGTTGTATCGTTGTGTCTCCTCCTGGTCGCAAACATTTCTCTCTCTCTGTGCATCAAAACACTCTGTGACATTTATTTATATTCAAACGTCTTGCGCTGCAGTTTGTCTTAAGCGCGGCAAAGTAAAAAGTCAATTCCAGCCGAGGTGCCAACAAACTGCAGCAGTGACACCTGAGACAGCAGGAGCAGGAATTGCACTTTGGCAGCTTCACACAGAACATGATGAGGACAGCAGGATATAAATAAGAGTGATGCAACGTTTCCCCACCGGCTCGGTCGCCGGTGCGTTCAGGGGGATGATAGCTGATTGGAAAAGTGGAGCAGTGACAGTGTTATGATGTAACAAGACTTGTCAGCGGTTAAAAACTAAAAGAAGTGAAAATGAATGATTGAATAAACACCGGGGTTGGAGGCGGTGCTGTGTTCACGTCAAAACTAATTGGATGGTGGAAACTGTAATGTCTTCAGCTTTTGAAAAAAAGGAAACTTTTATTTGTCTACAAACTGAACCAGCGATTTAGCATCGAAAAATTCACCGCTGCCTTGTCTACAAACTGAACCAGCGATTTAGAATCGAAAAATTGAAAAATCGCTGCACTCGTCCACTACCTGCTTTAGGATCCATCCTATGTTTAGATGTTGTCTTTCTGTTCCAAAAAATATATACAGAAAAAAAATGTTTTTTGTCCTATGTAGGTATGTCAAGTAATCATGATTAATCATGATTAATCAAAGCATATTTATCTTAGAATCATCCGTCTCTTTAGACCAGGGGTGTCAAACTCATTTACACCTCATTTATTCACGTTACAAATATTGTAAATTGCTCTGTGTAATAAAAAAGTAAACACTCGTCGGGCTGCATTTGGCCCGCGGACCTTCAGTTTGACACATGCATTAGCCCATTAGCCATTGTGCTACTACAAATGTAAACAAACAGCATATTTTGCTGGTGGATAAATGCACTCCTGTGCAGTTTATTTTCAAGGAAACGACTTTGATCTACAAACAAAAATGAAAAGGCGCGCGCACACACACACACACACACACACACACACCGTACAGCTCCTACAATATAGTATAGATTTACGACCTCTTACCTCAGTATATGTAAAAGCCTGTTTTATTTAAGCTGAAGAGCAGCTGCACAGATGAATAACATCCCAAATAAAAGAGCACTTTAATCACAACACAGAAAAAAAACAGCAATATCCTAAAATACACAGTACGTATACACAGTATACGCAGTGTACTCAGTATACACAGTATAAACGGTCCAGACTCAGCTCCCTCTGTTGCCACGACTTCAGTGGCCGTGCTCCAGAAGCTGCTTTCACTGAGACCCAAAGGAAATCAGTGAGATCTGGAGACCGACTCTGAAGGATTATTACATTATCACTAATGTTTCACTCGGGTTTACGCTGTTCTTGGGTAAAAAAAAAAAATGTTTTATCCACTTTGGAATATTTTATTCTACCACCATCTAACTGTGAAGATTCATTTTAACCAGACCACTGATATACTGTAATACAAAAAAAAAAAACATGTCTATTCTGAACTTCGCAAAAACCTTTGGCAAAATGTAAGAAGAAATGTATAAGACTTTCTTTACACTATATTTTCAGGCCTTGATCTCTGTTGTCTGTGAGCAGATTACTGCGACAAAGTACAAAAACACAGACTTTGACTGTCACAGAATGTTGATGAAGTGTCATCGGCCTCTTTCATAACGATCCATTTCTGGACCAGAATGAAGAGCAGTTTCCAGGGAATAAAAAAAAGTTTCATTGTAGTTATGGAGTGTAAGTGTTTCTGCAGTGGCTGCCATCTGCCACACGTAATACTTTTTCATTGATGCGAAATGCAGCAAAGAGAATGTGCGCTGCTAAAGGAAATTAATGAGGTGAGAAAAAGATGTTCTTTGGTTTTTTTTTTAAGAAATAAGAACAAAGATTGATGTGGAACATCCCGGACTGTGCTTCACAAAAGAACAAAAAGTTTAATCTTTTTCCTGGCAAGATGTAGAAATCACAGAGGTAGAAACAGCCAACCATCACTCACTGGTTAGACTTGGTGAAGGGAAGTGAGAACGCTACAGTTCCAGCATCTCTTACCTTCATGACGATGAAGAGGACCAGGGTGACGAAGACGTTGACCTGCGGATGTTTCCAGGCCTGAGCGTGTCCGATGTAGTCGAACTCCTCAGCGATGCCCTGCTTGGCCCACGTCCGATTGTCCAGCAGAGTCACCAGAGCCTCTTTCTGGGTGAGCTGGAGGCCACAGGAAGTGACATCATCACAAGACTGGTTTCATGAACTCTGATGATTGGTTTATACCTTTGAGCTCACGTTCTCTCAGATAATGACAAAACCTACCTTTCCGGCCATGAACTGCCCAAAGCCAGGGGGGAACGTGAGGGTGGAAATAAGCAAAGTGACCAGAGCTGGATACAGGAGGCGTCTAGGAACAGGGAGGAAGGAAAAAAAAGGAAATTTGGAAATGAAAATAGAGGCAGAATTTTTTTTATTTTTTTTATTTTATATATCTTTTTATGTGATTTTTTTTGTAGGCCTTACAATGTTTTAAATATAAAAATGTTCATCAAATATATCAAAGGTGCATTCTGTAAATATTTGACTCACTTCTTCATGAGGAACTTGTTGATGGTCTTCTGTTTTCTGATGAACTGCACAATAAGTCTGTTCAGATACACAAACAAGGCTCCGCCAAAGCCACTGGCGATGCTGCAGACACACAAAACCAAATCAAATCAAGTGGATCTTATTTTACAAATCACATTCAGCCTCCGAGGATTTCTCAGTGTGGAAGTTAATATTCAAACACAGTCAACGCCATAAAACTGAAAGCAGCCCAAAAGGAATGAGTAGGAAAACAGAGAGGAAATGAGTAAACATGTAGGAGGAGAGAGCTGCGAGGGGGAGAAGAAGAAGAAGAAAGACGGAGGAAAACAAAGACAGAAAATGAAAAAAAAAAACGCACAGAAGAAATGAAAAATAAACACTGAGCTGCAGCGGGCGGGGACAGACGGAGGACAGACGACACACTGTATTCAGGATGAGTGTGGGAGTGGAGGTTTTACATAAGGCTTCATTTCATGAGCTCAGTGGGAGTCCTGTCTCCACGACAGGGCGACAGAGAAGGATGAAAACCGGACAGCTGTGCAGAGCAGCTACAGCTCAGGAATTCATCCGTCTGAATTATTAACTCTATCAAAGACTTCTGAATAAATGATGAGTCGGACAAAGAACGAAGTCTGCAGCCGAGACACGCCGTGGCTTCTGTTTACTCTGAGATCTCAGTCTGACTGTCTGACGCCTTTGGGGGATTTGGTCAATGGACTGACCGGTCCAGGTAGTGTCGATGTGTCAGCTGGACACAGGTGAGAGAGGCCTCGTCAGTCAGGAAGTCTGTTAGGTTTGACTGAAAGGATCACTGAGGTCATGGTTTCAGGTCAGCAGGTACTGTAGATCAGTGGTTCCCAAAGTCTGGGTCGCGACCCTCAGATGGGTCCCAAACTTTTTCAAAAGTCACAAACCTTCACGACCCAAGTCAATAAACATCATTCGTAAACTCCTGGGAAATATGATGTGAGACGACCCCAAAAAAACCCAAAAAAACCCTGGAACCCACCTGAGTGTCGCGACCCAGTCTTTGGGAAACAATGTACTAAAGTACATAAAGTAACAGTCTTTGGGAAACAATGTACTAAAGTGGGCCAGATTTAAATTCAACTGCTGCTACAGTTGAGTTACTTCGTGCCAGTTTGAAGAATTGACACAAACCCATACATTTTCTGCCTCATCCTCTTCAGTTTGAACAAAGATCCGAGTTACTGCTGCTACAGTTGAGTTACTTTGTGGTAGTTTGAAGAATTGAAACAAAACACATTTTCTGCCTCATCCTCTTCAGTTTGAACAAAGATCCGAGTTTGAAACAGCTCAAATAAAAATTCAACAGATTCAAAAACAGTTTAAAGTCACCTGATAATTATCAGCTAATCACAAGGAAAGATTGAACAACAAACAGATGAACACAGAATGAAAAAAGGACTTTGCCCCTGAAACATCTGATAGTGCCCCAGACCCCTGATGATGGCGTCTTTTAATGCCCTCTATAAAAAAACAGTTTGAGCAACTGCACCACCAAAGAGCTGGATAATGAATCCGTGGTGTTTTTCCGTCTCTGTTTTGTTGTTTATTCTTCCATCCGTGTACATCTGTGTGGTAAATCAAAGCTTTATTTTTCCCTCATTAGCCACAAATAAATCGGTGAGTAAATCCTGACGACAGAGATGTTTGACAGTCAGTGGTTAGTGATAATGAGCTGTTGTTACACAGCGGCGTTAATGTCAGTATTAATTGTTTGCCACAATTCACCTCTGAGTCACACACACTCCCAGGCTTCTTCTCACTGACACAGATGAACAAAGGTCTTCAAACTCACACACACATCACTTTTAAACAGCTCCGCCGCGGTCTCACAGTTTTAACTGAAGAACCCGAGGATGAAGAAACATAAACATAATTCTGTATAAGACACTGAAGCCACAGCCACACGAAGGAAAACAACTCAGACACCAAGAATACTCAGGAAGTGAAGTGTTAAAGTACAACTACAATAGCAGAAAAAAAAACTGTTCTCCTCAGCATTTATCAGCAAAAAACTTGACTTTTACTTCAAAGTAGCCACGAAAAAAAAAACAGTAATAACTATAATAATCAAGTCCCTTATTTGTCTTAATTTACAATGCAAGTCTTTGTAAATGACAAAGCCTGCCACCGGGGGCATCATTAGGGTATGTGGCTGCAACTCACAGGCTGCCACAAGGGAGGCGCCATTAGGAATATGTGATTCTTCTGGGAATTGAACCAAGGACTCATGCATATGCCTATCGTCTTACACTGCGTTTGTATAGTACAACAGGTACGAGTACTGCAGGTGCAGTAGTGGTGGGTATTACACTGTTGTTACCTGACCATGGGGGTAATCAGGTCATGTTTTTAACCTCCTCTCACTCCTGCAGCCTGAGGGAGTGATCGGTGAGTAAACTACGGTTCTACTCTTCAAAGGTGTGCCCTTGAAAGAACGTTGTTTGAGCAACGCCGTGGCCCAGTTCACCGAGACTCGGGCCGACCTGCGGCTCAGATCTTGACAGCTATTAGCAGGGGGAGACGGAGACTAGAGAAAAACACACAGTTGACGGCAGTAGAACCTGAGGCCGGGCTCTCTGCTTCAACACGTGAGTGATGCACTGATGTAGTCGTGTGTGTGTGTTGGCAGGTTTTTTTTTACTCCCCCCAAGGCCCTGCACACACTTTCAAACGTGAATTTTCTTTAATCTGAAGGAGAGAGCAAATAAACCAGAGAGAGAGAGAACGTTCTCCTCCAGTCCTTCAGTCGGATTCTTTTCTTTCACCAACTCTTTGTCTCCTCCACAGCTGTGAACAGGCCTCAGGCTACAGCAGCATAAAAAAAAATCATCCTCGGGACGCAAGACACACTTTCGGACTGAATTAAACATTTTAGTGTGACTCATGCAGACTACCCTCAAAGAAACGCCTACACACACACACACACACACACACCGCTGTGACTAAAGGTTTGGGATTCAACCTGAATTTGTACTGCAGCCAGGTAAGAACAAAAACAGAAACCTACAAGGCCTCGGGGTTTCCTAAAGTCATTTCCTTTCTAATGTAATGACATTTAAAACTTCAAAAGAATTTGCTTTCTATTAAAAAAAAAAAATATATATATATTAAAAAAAAACCTAGCAAGTTTCTTTGATTAATGTATGTTTGTATTTGAGGAATGTATTTTTCAAACCTTTTGCTTGACCTATATTTCAGTGACTGTTAATAAATATGTTATTTATTATTCATTCAAATTAAAAATATTGTAAATATTGTACATAATAATAAAAAAATCAAGTTAAGAAACTCAAACAACATGGACTGTATTATGATTATAATTAAAGACTTTTTAAGCCGGCCTTCCAAAATGACTTGGCGGGCCACATTTGGCCCGCAGACCTTGAGTTTGACACATATGCTATAAATGATTATTTTCATCAGTCTTTCTAATTAATGTTTTTAAGTCCAATAGTTTTACTGCATTGAAAATAAAAACGAACTAAATCAGGAGCAGTCATTAAAACTCACCCAATAACTGCGAAGGCAGGAAGCTCCTGGAGGTCAAAGGGGAAGTCGAGTCGGAATCGAGTTTTGAACAGAGCCGTGATGGTTTCTGGAGGGAGACACAGACACAGGAAGTAAGAACGAGGTGGAACAGAATGTCAAAGAACCTTCAGGAACAGGAACAATAACGGAAAATAACAAGTGAGAAGTAGGTTTTAGTATAAATAAAACATCTGTTAGTGTCAGAGTCCTGTTGACCTCTTGTTTTGAAAGGTTGCCAGATTATCCTTTAACTCCTGTTGACCTCTTGTTTTGAAACGTTTCCAGATTATCCTTTAATATGACTTGATATGACTGGATTCTTTTTTAAACAAAGTACCAAACAGATTTTTAGAAACTTGTAAAAGGCTGGGTTTAAAAAGTCTACACCTGCTGAAGTCGACATGTTAAGAATAGCTTTACTGCTTGAATTTGCCTTGAGACAGCCTTTTTGATGGGAAACTGATGTTGCTCTAATTGCTCCCTCTCCTGTACTGGTAAAGAAAATGAGCTGGCTGCAGCTCGGAGGAAGTAGAACCTTCTGGTTCTCTGCTGTTTTGGGGTAATTTGGTCAAAATAACAAAGGTAATGTTGTGTTGAGGCATCTGTGGTTCCATAAACCAGCAATGATTTTTATTATAACCTCCATGTAAACAGGAGGCGTCTTACACCAGGGATTCCCAAAGTGTGGTGCATGCCACTAGGGGGTGCAGGAGAGGAGAAATGTGACAGTGGTTTGTAGTGTGTTTTGTAATGGGATTTTTTTTTTCACACAATATTGACTTGTAAGTAAACATTTCCGTTGTAAAATAAATATTAGTTAATAATAATAATTATAAACATTTAAATTAATAAATAAATACAGTCTACAGGTGTGATAAAACATGCTGTCTTTTTAATTTTATTTTTTTTCCTCCCAAAGGTGTGGTTAATTTGGGGACACAACCAACAATTTGGGAACCCTGTTTTTTGCTAACAATCTTTCAGGTACCTTAATTATCATTATCTTAATTATCATTATCTTAATTATCATTATCTTAATTATCATTATCTTAATTATCATTATCTTAATTATCATTATCTTAATTATCATTATCTTAATTATCATTATCTTAATTATCATTATCTTAATTATCATTATCTTAATTATCATTATCTTAATTATCATTATTGGTTACATGGTAAATATAAAATAATGTCACATGTGTGGATCAGAATCAGCAATTAATGGTTTAGTTATTATGCAGGACAAAGTAGCACACGGGCTAGCTTAGCAGCTACCATTTTTGCTAGCTTGCTATTTTTGAACAACTGAGACTATGCCTTTTATTTAAGAAAAACAAACCAAAACAAAAACAACACCCAAACAAACAGAATAAAATAATCCTAAAATAACAGTGCAAATAAAAAAACACTCAGTACAGGGTCCTGAAAAAGGTCTGAACGCAGAGTAGAAAGATTTATTGTTACCTTCATCTTTGTTCCACACAGCCAGGACTCTGAAGATAAAGGCACTAAAGGTTGCAGCAAAGAAACCTCTCCAATAGTTTCTCACCGCAAAGAACGTGGAAGTTACTTCGATACTGAACAGCACTCCTGAAAAACACAGACCAAACACAGACTCAGGCTGTGGAACACGAGCGACTTGGCAACAGATTTACTCCAGCAATATTCAAATGTTGATGACAAATAAAACCTACAAAACCATTTTCACATTATTAACATTCCTCCCACTGTTTCCTATTATTCACTGGCAGAGACTCGTCACAGACCGACTGGTGTGAATGACGTCTTATTACGTTGTCATGTCTGAATTGAAT